GGGCGGGGCGCTCCACGAAGTCTTGCTCGGGCTGTCCTCCGCGGAGCACGGTCAGACTGCTGATGCTTACATCGACATGATTGACGCAGTGCTGAGTGTTTACAACAAGGATCGCAGCATGGTTCTATTCATGGTTGTCGACAACTGCGCTACAAACCAAGCCGTTGCTACGCGAATGAGGGTGCCTCTCGTTGGATGCGCAAGTCATCGCTTCAACCTCGCCGTCAGCCGGTACCTTGAAGACTTCAAGACGCTGATCGACCAAGTGCAAACACTATGCGTTCAGCTACGTTACACCAACAATGCGGCAGAGCTGGCTCGGTTCACCAAGTACAAGCTGCTGAAGTCGAACGCAACGCGCTGGTCATCCACTCACCAGATGCTGGCTCGCTATGTGGAGATCCTGGATGCCATCAAGATGGTGGCTGCGGTGGAGGACCTGCTTCCTCGGCCTAGCACGCATTGTCAGATTGTCCAGCTCGTCACTAATCTTGAGGCGCTAGACAGTGTCTGCGTCAAGCCGCAGGTCGAAGAGGGCAATCTTGCTGACGTGCGACTCTTATTTGACGCTATCATTTCCAAGTACCCAGCGACGGCACACCACCCGAGTGCATCTGCTCGAATCGTGCACTCTCCGGCCTTTGAGAATGCCATTGTCAACCTGCTATCGGACCGGTCACTGAGCTCTGATGAAGAAGAGGCTGTTGCTCGTTTTACTGGCCCAGATGATCTCGAACCAGCAGCTCCGAAGACGAAGACGGACTTTGCGACGGAGACGCTTCGTCAGGCGAAGAAACCTCGCCGGGCTGCTGTGACCAAGTACATCGACGTGCTGCGAATGATTCCTCCTACCTGCAATCGATGCGAGCGCCTCTTCTCGCGGTGCAAGTTGGTGTCCAATCCTCTACGCTCCAGTCTGCTACCAGCTAACTTCGAGATGCTGGTGTTCCTACGTGCCAACCGGGAGCTCTCGGACTTCACATCTCTGTTGGGGTTCCATGAGGCGGCCGATGAAGACGCAGAGTAGATGAAAGTCACTCAAGAAGTGGTGCCTCTTATAGTTGATATTGTTTTCAACCATAAAATATAGGAGGTCGAAAACTTTCATACGCAAAACCCATATCCGCTGGTGGACTGTCTTGACGTCGCCGGCGCATTTTTGTTTGCTAGAGTACCCCTAAGCCAGGACAAAAGTCCCGGTGGCAGCCACCAGCTTCTCGTACAGGTGTGGGACTCGAACCCTGCCCAGTGGATTGGTAGGGTCATCCCAAACCACTGCACCGTTCTGACCCTGCCAATTTTGCACAATAATTGCAATACTTATTATTGTTTTTGTCGATACGAAATTACGGATTATGTTTCTTTTAGAAATCCAATACAATATTCTATTTTATGTTCCGAGCTTTGACGGCAAGAAGGTCAATAACTCATACCAGCATACCTTTGGTTCAAGTAGGCACACTAGGTCTTATAAAACAAGCAAGGTACGAACAATACGATCAACCGCACATTCCATCTCTTAGCTGGGAATACGCACAAATTGTGTGCAATTCCCATTTCGATTATGTGGAGTAGAGGGTGTGTTCATAAACTATGCTTTTGAAGTAGATT